AAATTATAAAGCAGTACAAATGGCTCAGTGCAACTCACTCCCGTGAGAGAATTGTGAGACACTGGCAGCCCTTTAAGTTTTGAGGGCCGCTAGGTAGTCCTCTGTAGAGAGATTCAGGCTATCCCGGCACAGGAGCAAACAGCAAGGCAGGTCACCAACAGTCAGTCCCCAGGTCATGAGATGTAAATTCCAATTGTGTGGTGAAGCAGGTCTTAAAGGGACCTCAAATTACAGTGACACAGTCCACAGGTTAGGTGTTCCACAGGTAGTGTAGCTTGCAAACTGAGGCACAGAACACGCAAGGCAGCGCACACTGGTCCGATGATCAAAGAGCGAGAGACAAGAAGGGCGAGGCTCACCGAGCCATTTATCTCTCCGCCCTTCAGTTAACCCCTCATGTGTTTATCGGCCAGGCTGGCACAATAAACTGACTATCTCAGTCAGCTAACTTGTGAAACCAGACACATCTATATTATATCACCAAGTCGATAGGTCCCTCTGAATTCAAAGAGGGTTCTCTAGTGCACAGAGGAAAAGTATAGTTTATGGCCACAGGTCGTGAAATGTGATGATCACAGAGCACTTTTATTAGTAAGGAGGGCTTGGTTAAATTGGGGCAGTAGCATAAGCTAAATATCACCGGTCTTTTCTAAGTCTGTTTTCTACTTCTTTTCATGCATAAGTGACTAAAAAGAATAAAGTCTGAAGAGAAAATAGAATGAAAAGATAATGCGTCCAAAATGGGCACTACGAAGGAAATACATACACCATTACGAAGTATGAAGACATGCTGCTCAAAAGCCGTCTGATCAGAAAGGCCACTCCTGACTGTGTTAGACAGGCCCAGCAAACTGACTGCCTCCCTGACCACGCGACAGAAAGACAAGGCACGCTTAAAAAAGAAGTGTAGTTATTTTAGAATGACCTAACAGCCTATCTTTTAACCAAAACAACAAAAAAGATTTGTTTTTCTCTCTTCAAAGCCAATTTAGCAGTAAATGATGCAAAGCATGGAGTGTGTAATAAAATTTAAATGGAGAAGTTGGGTTGGCTTGGCAAGATTTATGATCCATGCTCAATGTTAAACAACAACAACAAATTCAAAAGGATATAATGTAAAAATCTCCTAGACTCCGCCAAACTTCATTTCCATTTCGATGTGAGTATCTGGCTGTTGCTCGTTGGGGCGACTCTAGATTCCCCCATGTGCAGGGAGAGCTGCTCCACGGGGCTTCAAGCTGTGACCTGGCAGGGCTGCCCTCGGAGGCCGGAGGCTGCTCTCGATGGGTTCAAAGTGCCACTTTCAGCTCGTAGTCAAATACCTAACTGCTTATGCCCCAAGGGTTACATTTAAAAACAAAACAAAACAAAACCACCAAAGGGGATGCTAAGAAGAAGCTTTAACATGTTTCTGGGGGGAAAATCCCCCATCTTTTAAGTCCATTTTCCCACATTTTTTTTGTTTTATGCATGTTTCTCTTTGGGCTATATTCTTTTTGATAAATTATTCAACGCTGCAAAGCTTTTGTGTATGTCTAAACCACCATAGAATGTGCTCCATTTTGACAGCTGTTGTCAAATGGCTCTCCCAAAAAGGGCCGTGCTGATGCACTTTAATCAACAGTGTCTCAAAGCACCTGTGGCCGTATTCTCTGTACCTGTTAACTATTAGTCAAGTTCTTATTTATTGATTTGTTTACTATGCATCATCCATTCATTCATAATCTCTGTGGTAGGTGAAAAAAAAAGCTATGCTGTTATTCCATTTTGTTTTCCTTAATTATGAGGTTGAACATAACTTCATTGAGGCCATGACTATATTTTCCCTTTAAAAAGTACTTAATTATCCTTTGCCCATTTTCTGTTTAAAGTTTTTTTTATTGGGTTAGGGGGAGTTGGTGGGGTGTGCGATAGCTTTCCTTAGAAGTCCTAAAAAAAAAAAAGAAGTCCTTGGGCGGTACGAATGGTCAATGTATGGTTTTCCTTTTTTTATATTTAAATTCTGGATCCATTTGAAAGTTATTCTGACATGATCTATAAGAAGTAAAGTAAATATCCAGTGTCTCTCATGCACCCCTCCTCCACCCCCTCCAAAGGGCTAATCAGGGATCCTAGGAGTATATTTTAATATTCTATAAAAAATTAAATGTTATGGTGGTTAAGGTGAAAGCTTGCACATTAGCTCCCACTTAACGATGTCTATATGAATGGCTCTGTCACGCTGGCTCTCGTGTTTACAGCGTGACATTGGATTCACCACATTTCCATTCTTTCTGTTCTCTTTCCATTGATGTAGTGTCCGGGCCCCTCTTTGCTTCTGGAGTTAGGGTGAACTATATGGTTGCTTAAGGGAGCCCATTCCTCACGAATGACATAGTTTCTTTAAGCTAATCTATTATTTGGCTGAAAGGTGACCTCCAGAAATAGCTTCAGCTCCAAGTTCAAAGAATACCACAGGGTGATGATCTTGGGATTTCCTCTGGTCTCTACCAGCTTTGGGAGGTCTGGCCTTTTTCAGGAGTTTGGATTTTATTCCACATGGTTCTCCCATCCTATTCGGGTCCTTCAAGTGTGTACCAGAATGGTGCAGAGAGGTGGTCAGGCACCACACAGTTCTGGTCTCGGGTTAGAAAAGGAGGCCACAGGTTCCTGTGGCCGATTAATTATGTGGGCTCTGGCTATCAAAAGATATAGCATCTGGGGTCTTAAAAGTCTGTGTGATCACGAGGTGTTGAAGGGATCACTGAAGACAAATGGGTTTTGTATAAGCAAATGTGGCGAAGAGAGCTGATGGTGCCCGGCTATCAAAAAGTATAGCGTCTGGGGTCTTAAAGGCTTGAAGGTAATCAAGCGGCCATCAAGCTCAGAAGCAACAAACCAGCCTATGCAACCAGGAGGTGTCGAAGGGATCAGGTATAAGGCATCATCAGAACAAAAAATCTTACCATAGTGAATGATGGGGGGAGTGGGGAGTGGAGACCTAAAGTCCATTAGTAGGCCACTGGAGATCCCCTTGCAGAGGGGTCTCAGGGAGGAGACAAGCCAGTCGGGGGTGGGGGGTGGGGGTATGGGATGTAGCAACGATGAAAAATACAACTTTCCTCTAGTTCCTAAATGTTTCCTCCCCACTCCTACTATCATGATACGAATTCTACCTTGCAAGTCTGGCTAGACCAGAGGATGTACCCTGGTACAGATAGGAACTGGAAATACAGGGAATCCAGGACGGATGATCCCTAAAGGACCAGTGGTGTGAGTGGTGATACTGGGAGGGTAGAGGGAGAGTGGGTTGGAAAGAGGGAACCAATTACAAGGAAGTATATGTGACCTCCTCCCTGGGGGACAGACAACAGAAAAGTGGGTGAAGGGAGACGTTGGACAGGGCAAGATATGACAAAATAATAATTTATAAATTATCAAGGGCTCATGAGCGAGAGGGGAGCCGGGAGGGAGGGGAAAAATGAGGACCTAATGCCAGGGGCTTAAGTGGAGAGCAAATGTTTTGAGGATAATGAGGGCAATGAATGTACAAATGCGCTTTACACAACTGATTTATGTATAGATTGTGATAAGAGTTGTATGAGTCCCTAATAAAATGATTAGAAAAAAAAGATTTAAAAAAATAAAGAAAAAAAAAGTATGTGGGCTCTTCTTTAAGTCTCTGGTTTCCTTCATTCTATGTTGTTCCTTATATTAGAAACAACGAATACTTGTATTTCACATGAACACTTGAAAGAATTTAAGACTCAAAGTGCTACTCAAGACACTATAATGTACAACGGTACCTTCCTGAACTATTATGCCAATTGAGTAGTTTGTCTCCTTATGGCCCTAAGGTTTTTCACCCAGTAAATCAATCCCAGGTGCTTTTTGCCATCTCTGGGAAGCCTCTGTAACTGTGTCCCCATGTGTTTTGTTTTATAACTGTATGCAGCACACAAAAATGTATATAAGATGCATATTCAAGGGACATTCAAAACAGTGGTGTAAAAATTGAATTGAGAGAGTGGAATTTTTCTACATACCCTTTGATGCTCCCTTGTATGTAAGCCTGAGGACATTCCAATGCATGCACGTGCATTTTACTCACGTTTCCTATAGCCATACCAATATAAAGATCTACCCATGTAACCATATACATATTTTTGGTTGTTGTTACTATTGCTGCAAAATTCTAATTGTTACAGCACTCACTGAGACTGTCCTCGTTTCTTCTGTATTTCTTAGCGTCTTTATTTGCCTTGGTCAAGCTGTACTGACTTCACCTACATTTAGGATTGCCTTTTCCGTCACCAAAACTAAAATTAACAAGTGTCTATCATCTAGAAAATGTTTCCCCCTCGCTTCCATGGTAACCATAAAAAATTATTTCTTTCTGTATGTGTAGTTATTCTTTATAGCACTGGGATCATACAATACAGACTTTTTGTGATTAATTCCACTCAGAAAAATGCCCTTCAGATCCCTCCATGTCATAAATGTTTCATAAACTCATTCTTCACCGTTGTGTAGTATTCCACTGTGTGAACGTACCACTGTTTGCTTATGTATTCAGCCTTTAATGGGCACTTAGGTTGGTCCCATCTTTTCGCTATTGGGAATAGTGTTGTAATAAACACATGAGTGGAATTGTTGGATCATAAAGTATTTCTACTTCTAGCGTTTTGAGGAAGCAATATGCCATTCTTTATAGTGGCTGGGTCATTTTATAACACCACCGCAATAGACGCGTTCCAATCTCTCCACAACTTCACTAGCATCTGTTGTTTTGTTTTCATTATTGCCTTGCTTACAGGGCTACCAGGGTATCTCGTTGTGGTTATTATTTGCATTTCTCTGGTGCCACTTTTTCATGTACTTGTCGGTTCCTTGAGTGTCTTCTTTGGTGGGGTGTTTGTTCATGTCCTCAGTTCAATTTCTGATTGGGTTATTTGTATTTTTGTTGTTATTGAAGTGTTCTATATATTTTACTAAGAGATCCATATCAGATACACCATTGCCAAAGATTTGCCCTAGTGTCTAAAGTTCTCTATTAATTTCTTGGCAAAATCTTTTTGATAGACATAATATTTAATAGCTAGGAGGACCTAGTTGGTTAACTTATCTTCTGTTACTTGTTCTTGATAGGTTATGAGAAAATCAGGTCCCCTATGCTCCAGGAACGTTATATTACTAGCTGTAATACTTAAGTGTTTGGCCCATTTTGAAGTCATCTTGTGTACTGGGTGAAGTGTGGAACTTGTTTCACTTTTGTGCAAGTAGATATCCAGTTTTGCCAGCACTATTTATTTAAAGAGGTAGCTTCTTCCCCGCTGCATGGACTTCAACAATTTGTTGAAGATGAGTTGTTCACAAGTGGATGGATTTATTTTGGGCTCTCAATTTTATTCCATTGGTCCATGACCCAGTATCAGGCTTTGATTAAATAGCTGTCTAGTAAGTTTTGAGATCAAGGAGTATAAGGCCTCCTATTTGTTCTGCTTCATCAGCAATGTTAGCTGTTGGATTTGCATATATGCTACCCCATTTTTTCACCCCCCACAGGGATGTGAAATGCAATATTTAGCACACTGTAATGTTCTTGAATTAGATTTATAAGCTTTTTTTTCTAATCGATTAATCCGTCCACCCTGCCAGTAACATAATGTTTAAATAACTACAGATGTAAAAGAAGGTTTACTAGGTTACTCGCTGCTGTCATGAGGTGGTGTATATCAGGTGCAACTCACAGTGACTCTCTCCTGCTTCACCCTGCCACGCACTGCTGTGCTGCACCTAATGTTGCAGCCACCGCGTCAATTCATCTTGTGAGGACCTCCCTCCTTGTCACGCTTCTTCTCCTTTAGCAAGCATGGCGTCCTTGTCCAGGGCCTGGTCTCTTCTGATAGCACGTCCACAGTACGTGAGGTAGAGTCTAACCATCCTTTCTTCTAAGGAGCATTCTGGCCGGGCTTGCTTCAAGAGAGATCTGTTAGTAAGACTTATTTTTCATGTTTCCCTCACTCACTAGCATTAATCTCTTTTCAAATTTTATCATCCTCGCTTGTTACTGCCTAGAAATGACACCCAGAACGAATTGATCAAATTGCAAAACAATAAAATCTCATCAAAATGAAAGACAAACAAATGATTATGGCAGGAATTACATTAAATGGCATATTTACAGTCTCCAAGAATAAGGCTGTGCTTTCACATTAATTAAATATACAGCATTATCTTCAGAATATTTCCCTGGTGTTAGTTTCCACACACAGTAAAGAATTACTGGGGAAAAATCATGTTGATTTATCAGCCAAACAATAAAATCTAAAGTGAAAACCGTTAGAAGACAGTTTGGCAGTTCCACGAAGAGGGGAGCAGAGTCAGGGGACGACACAGGAAGTCTCCACCTGCTCCCAGGCATATGCCCAACAGAACGGAAAACCTATTCTCCAGAAACTCCCAAAGCTCATAGCAGCACACAATCACAATAACTGAAAGGTGGAAATACCCTAAATGCCCATCAACATTTGATGACTGCATTAACAAAATGTGCACTCTCCAGAGAATGGACTATTATTCAGCCAAGAAAAGGGAATGATGTGCAAACACAGACTGTAACAGAACAAACCTGAACACATGGCGAGAGAGAGCAGCTGGCCAAGAAAGGCCACATACTGAATGCTTCTGACACTCCGCACAGACAAACCCAGGGAAGAACGTAGCCCCGTGGTTGTCAGGGCGTGTGGACGGGGAATTGGGAGGGAAGGGTTTCTTTGGAGGGGTGATGAAATGTTCTGAAATTAGATAATGGCATTGGCCACAAAACACTATGAATTTACTAAAAACCACTGGATTTCACACTTTCAAATGGTGACTCTTGTGTGAGTTATTTCAATTAAAAAAAAAAAAAGTGAAGTTGTACAAAGTCTACTGACCATTTTCTGTGGAACAGATGCAAAATTAGGGTATCCAAGCACATCTTCTATGAAGTTGTTGTCACAGCTCTTTCCAATCCAAATGTAAAAAATCTGAAAACAAAAAGAAACAAAAACAAAACAAAAAACGAGTCAGTCAGGAAAACGCTTGTGCGCTCTCAAGTGGCTTGTGCCTCAGAGGCTCCCAGTCCTCACACAGGAGGTCGGCCCCACGGCGCTTCTAGACGCTGACCTGGCAGGGACAGGTCGCTACGTCTTATCTCCCAGCAGCCAAGCGCTTAACCAGGCTCTTCCAAAATGATCACACACAAATGGATAATTTCAAATAAACACTGAGAAGGAGACACAGCTGTAACTGGTGCGTGGTGAATCTAAATCCAGGAATCAAAAGGGATTCATATCTTCTCTGCTTAAATTTCAAGGCATCTGATCAAACCCATTTTAGTTTCTTCCTCATTTTGTCTTCTCAACAGGAACGTGATGCTTTGATCTGGATAACTGACTCACTTAATAAGTTATTTAAGATGGTCTCTTAACCTAAGGATCCCCCAGCACCACCCTCCCACCCCATGTCTATTAAAACCATTTTCCTGCTTATAATGGTATAATTTATAAAGCTATCTGAAAATTGTGACACCTTTCACCACTGCCCCACATGGTAACTTCTGTACTCCTAATAATTCATGTGACTTCTGACCATGGATATAAATTGAATTAGATAAACTATGCAGTCTCGTTCAATTTATCGTCCTAAATGGTAAAGTTACCTCTATATTTCCTTTCATCAAGTAGAATTAATAACATGATGCCAGCTATGAAAGTCTTAAAAGAAAAAAAAGAAAGTCTAAAATAAGTTGACCTTCTGTGCTAGTTACCAATTTATTCCCTTCTCAGTATCGAATCCACCTTTCTCTGTGATCACCAAGCTGGGCCCGGTGGGTGCTTCTCCTTGGCCAGCTAGCACAGGGCTAGCCTTTATCAGAAGAGGGTACTTACAGAGCCACAGTCCATAAGGAAAGCACCTTCTCGTGTCAGCTTCTCTGCAGACAATTTTTGAAGAGGCGGTTGAGGCACAACCCTGTCATTAACATGCACAGCACCCTGAAAAGGAAGAGTGTTTGAATGAGCTCACCTGTCTATCTGCGGTCACGGAAACGCTACGGAAACCTGCACAATGACATTTGAGAGGAATACAAAGAGGCAAACGAGTACTGGTGATACATTATCCTCGTGGTTGTTCAACTAAGACAGTCAAATGTATTCAAATTATAAAGGTAAAAACATAAATACATTGGTCACATTTACTTTTTGGGATCAGAATATATTAAAAGATGGTTGAATCTACTGCATAACAAGCTAGTTTAAAAAATTTTTTTAAAAACATTTCTCAACTAAGATAATGCAGAAAAGATTCCAAAAAGTATAGTTTTAACACAAGGAAGAAGGAAAAAAAAGCTAGACATTTGCATGCTAGGATTATAGTTAGAAACAAAATTTGGTTTCCTATGATAAAAATTACAATCCAATTCTATCAGAAACAGTATCTACAAAAAGTATAGATGGAAATCCTCACTTCATGACCTCGTATTATAACAAATATTAAAAACAAACCTAGAAAGTAAACATCTTCCTACATGAAACTATTTTAAATTCCATAACCACAAATAATATCTGACAGTCCATCCATTCCATCAGATCCATAGCTCCCAATGACTGCTCCTGGTTCTGACTCAGAACAATTCTACAGGAGAGGGAACTGTCCCACAGGGCTGCTGAGACTATACATCTTCACAGAAGCAGGCTGCCTCATCTTCCTCCTGAGGGTAGCTGGCAGGCTTGCGCCTCCCACCTTTGGGTTGGCAGCCAATACTTAACGCCCCAGTACCACTAGGATGCTCCTTGACTCATGGTCAGTGTCCTTATTCACTTTGTTACTACCATCGTTGGCGAAAGGAATGGAAAAAGCTATTGATACGACATCATCACCTTAGCTACAGAAACAGACACCAAAATGCATTCCAGTTAAAAAAATGCAACTGCACGAGCAGTGGTCGTACCTCGTCTGTCAGTCTGTCAATCCTGTATAGGTTGGGATGGATCATTTTCATGAGATGAACAAGTGGCTGGGACTTCATCTGGCACATGGCATACACTCGATCATCCAGGCGTGTGCTGGTACCAGTTCGAAATGCTTTCTACAAAGAATGACACGTTACTTAATAAAATGTAAGGACAGTGGACAAACATCGAAACAAATAGGCACCATTCAGTAAGGAAAAAGCATGGCTTTGAAAGTCAAAAGACAAAAATAAATTAATAGACAGACAGATAGATAGCCACTGTCACGGAGTCAATGCTGACTCATCAACGACCCTACAGGAAAACATGACGCTTTCTATTCCTGTAAAGATTCACAGCCTCGGAAATCCACAGGAGCACTTCTACACGGCCTCACTGGGTCCCTGAGTTTCTAAGTCAGGCAGACCTGACCTGAGATCAATGCTCAGCTCTGACGGTTAACAGGAAGATTTGTGACAGTAAGGTATTTTAGCTTCTCTGAGTCGTCCTGTCATCAGAAGCAAAACGAGATAATTATTGACCGAGGGTCAAATGAACAGGATGGTATTAGCTATGAAGTATCTCTAAAAACATGAGGCCTGACCCAGGGACAGACATTCAATAAATAAGAAAAATTTTTCTTTGCATCTCTTTCAAGATGCGCACTAATTTAATCTGCTCGCACATATTAAAGCCAGCAAGCATTTGGCTCCATCTGAGGCGGCATATACTTGAGCAGCATTGCTTCCCATTGGACTTACCTATTTTTCAAAACGCTGCAAATGCTAATAACATCGTAAGCCTCTGGGTATCTATTTTTAACCAGATTTCTGCATTTTATTTTTCTCTTACATATGAGGAGGGGCATCAAAAGGTTCATGGGAAAATGGAATGAAAAGATAATGGGTATTTGCCACAAAAAATTTTTGAAGCCCCCTTACGTGTGGGAATTGAGAGAAAAAAGACTTTATTACATAAAACTGTATAGTTATATTACGTGTAACCATAGAGCACCTGTTTGAGAAGGGCCAAAACATAGAGAGGAAACAACTTGAGGGAGCTGGGTGCTATCAACGCCGAGTGCTGTAAATTTGAGAGCGTCGAGCCGTACGCAGACAAGGAATCCACCACCGCATTCACTAAGGCGTCTCTCGCGTCTGACAGACTTGATGAGATGGATCGATCCACAGCTATCACCAAGCAAAGCAAAAAGATGTTTGGTCATTACGTCTAGTGCTTGCTATCAATAGCAGAGATGATTTCCATGCGTTATTTTAAAAGCCAAGCAAAAAGTCTGTTGTGAATAGAAATACACATTTCAATTGCTCTCTCATTTTACAAATGTTAGATTACATAATGTTTCCAAACTAAATTCTACTGAATAAATTGAACCATCAGAACAAGTCTACATTCTTTTGGACTCATCTCTGCCCCCCACTCTTAAGTCTGAACAGAGCCACTATTAAAATCAGAGAGAACTTGTATCATTCACCATCTTCTGAGAAAGCCCATGTGATGCTTCCTTTACTGAAATGAAAGTCACAACTACGAATTATCATTTGTTTCCACATAACCAATGCATACCCCCTCAATCTGCGAAAACCCCTGTCATGCCCTCAAGCGTCCTCCTTCAAACCACTCTTGGTCAACAAATAGGGAGAGAATGGCACCCCACCTCTCTCTGACACTGGAGAGGCAGAGAGCAGCGTGAAAGTTAATTTTCCTCCACTTAGTTTTTTCAGAGATGGACATGTGAACATATGCCCAAGAAGTAAAAATCAAATTATATTAAAAAAAAAAAGAGCTAGTTATAGTAAAGTTAATTTGAAATCTAGATGTAAAATGATGCTTAAAATTAGAATCCCCAAATTGAGCAACATTGACGATTTTTCTTCAGGACTCTATGGGAAAACAGCAAGGCACGGTTTGGATCTACAAGTTCATGAAAAGGGGAAATTCATGAAAGACGAAACAAAAAATAAATCAGCGTTATTTTAATTCCCCAAAGCACCGTTTTTCTTTAAGTGTACATATAATTAAATTCACTTCTTTGGTTGTATAGTGCTTTGGTTGTTTTGTGTCAAACTCAGTCAAGTACTCACTATCACAAGACACAGAACCATTTCATCGCCACCCCTGACCCACAGACACCCCCATGCTGTGCTGCCCTGCTCTTCTGTAGCAAAAGAGCTCCCCTAAATCCCCCACCCTGGAAATCACTTATCTTCTCCATCCCTATCATTTTATGTATCAATAGTTCAATCTTTCTTATTGCCAAACAGCATTCCATTGTTTGGATGCACCAGGGTGTTCATTCAGTTGAAGGACATTCAGCTGACATTTATCAGTTGAAAGACATCCGGGTTGTTATCAATTTTTAGTGATTGTAAATCACAAAGGTTTTTACATTAAAGAATTGGTCAATTTGTTTGTGTTCTTCCCTAGGGTGCAGTATAGCACAACAAAGCACACAACCTTCCTCTAGTTAATGCTTCCTCCCCGCCCTGCCTGTCCCTCCCCTCCCCCCGCCCCCATTACCATGACCCCAGTTCTATCTTAGAAATCTAGCTAGACAATAACATGTATATTGGTACAGATAAGAGCTCTACACACAAGGAATCCAGAACAGATAAACCCCTCAGGACCAATAAGGGGAGCAGCAATACTAGCAGGGTAACGGGTGGGGAGTAAGGGGCAACCAATCACAACAATGGACATATGGCCCCCATCCCAGGGGGACAGACAGCAGAAAGGTGGGTGAAATGAGACAGCAGTCGGTGTAAGACATGGGGAAAAAAAGAATATGGATTATCAAGGGGTCAGGGGGAGTGAGGATGGGGGAGGGAGAAGTGAAAAAAACGAGGAGGTGATGCCAGGGGCTCAAGTAGAAAGAAAATGTTTTGAAAAAGATGGCAAAAGAAAAGAAAAAAAAAAGCAACATATATACAGATGTGTTTGACAAAATGGATATATGTATGGATTGTGATAAGAGCTTTAAGAGCCCCAATTAAAAAAATATTGGTCAAGACACATGAGTAGTCTAGTTCACATTTTGTAAATGCTAACACAAATACTCTCGGGGAGCAGACTGATGA